TGCCGATATATTTTATTTGTGTTTTGTTTGAACTTTGAAAAAAAATGGTTATTTATGATAAAAACTAAAAACGTAAAATCAATACAAATATAATACAATGGTACAATATTTAATTCAGTTTTGTATAAGTTTAAATATATATTGACAAAAAAATCAGTTTTGCATAAAAAACTAATTGATTTAAATATATATATATATATATATATATATATATTGATTTTGCATAAAAAACTAAAAGGAAATAAACTTAAATATAAATAGATATTTTAGTTAAAAATATATATAAAAACCGACTAAACCAATAAACCAACCCAAACCGGCCCTTCATGTTTGGGTCGGTTTTGTTTCAGGGTCGATCAATTTCAATTTAGTCAATAAATAAACCGATTAAGTCGGATTGATTGAAGAAAATGACTCAAACCGATCCAACCCAACCCATAAACACCTCTAATGAAACACTATAGTGTCAAACGAAACATTAAGAACGTGTTTATGTGTCCAAACCAATGACAATGGTAGATGACATATTAGGATCCATGTGGACTACATGACCACTGATATTATAAGTAACAGGTTCTCATGGAGTTGGAGTTGATAAAACTTTTGTGTGTGTGTGTGGTAAAAAATCTGAAATCTCATCCTAAGTCCTAACTTTTCATGGTTTTGTCTCCACAAAAAGACACCACTTCCACTTTTACAAACTCTCACTCTCTGGTGCCCCTTTCCAGTATTCCACTCTTTCTTCACTTCTACAACATCCAGTTAAAAGAAGTGGGTCCTTTTTCTTTTTTTTCTTTCTCCTTTTCTCCCCTACAAGCTCTAACTCTCTACTCTATCTGCCCTTTCGATTGTCCTAGGGTTTACTTGAGTTCCAAGTATCTTTCTTTGATAGGAAAGAAATATAATGAAAAATAAATATGTGGAATAGAAATAATAAAAGAAAAGTACTCAGAATTCTCTCTATTTTTAAGTTTTTCAAGGAAATGTAAAAAAAGCCCATCACAGCCCATCTATCAATAAAAGTCAAGAACAAAATGAAAAAGCAAAATAAAATAAAAGAGAACAATTCAAAGCTCTCAGTCTCACTATTATTAAATTCTAAAAAACAAACAGAAAAGAGAGATTCTATTCTAAATGCATGGCAATGTCAGTGGGTAATGAAGACACTGCCAACAATTTAATCACCCTCATCGTTTATTCAACAGGTATCCAATAGACAGAAGAAAAAGAGTGGGGGCCAAACACTGGGTCACTGCTGGCAACCTCATACACTTAAGCATTCTGACCTAATAGGACAAAGAAAAGACAAATTGTCTCATTCTACTGTTGCAGCCAAACAACACTTATCAGTTATATGGTCCTTGCCCATAGAAAGGTCCATTAACCTTTCAAATATCTTATACCCTAGCATGGGCTAGTTGCCAAGTGGTTGTAACCACAGACCCAGATGGCATCTGATGGCTTCTACGTGCCCAGAAGGATCCAAATGGGCCACTCGGCATATCTTCTGGACTAAGATTTATGGGCTTATGGTTTATCAATCTTTCAATCTTCTCAACTTCTTTTCTTTCCTTACTCAAATTAAACTCTCTCTCTCTCTCTCCTTTCGATTAGGCATCTAATAGCAGCTCAACTTTTTAGTGATCTAGGTCTGGGCTCATACTCATATATTCATAGAGCTGCACTCTACTATATGCGTGGGCTCCAGTTGGGTATGGGAGAAAACATCAAAATTAAAACTTTGTTGAACACTAAAAGAAGAAAAAATTGGATCCACTCACTTCTCTCCTAACTTTTTATTGGCTTCATATATGCTACTCGGCTTTGAATTGGCCATATGGGCCTAAATTGGACCCAATTATGATCTTATCCAACTAGGGATATTAAATAGTCAATTTGCCTTGATTTGATACCATTGGGTCAGCTTTTGCTAACCCTGACCTGTGGGGCTGTACATGGAGGGGTATTTTTGTAATGTTATTTATGTTATGTAGCTGGTTGTGTTATTTGACCATTTGAGCTGAGCATCACCTTTGACTAAAAGTTTAAATAATTGGATTGTGGATTAATCTTGTATAAATCATTTATTTTTCTTGTTTTTTATATGATTGGAGATTTCCTTTTCATATGCTCTAATCTTTTTTTTTCTCTTTATTACATGGAGAGAGAATAATTCACTATAATTCTATTAAGACAAACCCATGTCCAACCCAACTTTAGTTAACCCCGTAACATGCCACATGTCTTACATTCAAAGGATAGGGACCAATCAGTAAATGGGGCCAACCTTGTATAAATCATTTGCTTCTCTTAAGCTGTGTTTGGTTTGAATGAAATTAAAAGGTAGGGAAACCTTACAAAGGATAGGTTTGTAAGGTTTCCTACCTTTTCCTACGAACCAAACATTGTAAATCTTATTTTTTACCTGATCCGGAATTTCATTTTCATATGCTCATACATGCACCCCCAATGTGCAATAGGTTAATCTTCTTCTATTCTTAGAGAGAGAGAGATAGAAAGAGAGAGGGGTACATAATTCACTAATTCTATTAACGCAAACGATTCAGTAAATGGGGCCCACCTTAGTGATTAATTCAGTTACAAACAATATGATCAAACTTCATAATCATGTTCTCAGCATATATATATATATATAGTTGTTTGGTGACAAATTTCAGCAACATGTCACTGAAGCTCCGGTGCCCCAAACTCTTAAACTTTGATGTCTCCTGGAGCAACAGTAACATTTTCTGTTTGGTACTAGTGTTCTATATCTGTTTTCAACACTGTTACCCATTATAAAAAGTCCACGTTACTGTCACATCATGTATTTGTTGGCAGCAACGAGTTCTAATTTGAGAAAACGTCAAATTTAACATTACTCCAAACCATACCTTCTCGATTTTCAAGGTGTGACTTGAAATATTGTTTTTTATGAAAAAATGATTCCCAATATATTAATATTTCCTGGAGCACCATTTTTTCCGATGTAACTCTAATGTATTATCATTTTAGGAAGCAACGACATCAATGCCAAACAGACAAATGCTAAAATGCTTTCATTCTATATATTTACAACATGCCATTTAATAATATGATGAAACTTGTGATGGTAAAGAATAAGAGAATTCCACAACCCACCTTTCTTTTTTTTTCCCCTTTTTTTATCTTCCTCTATTCAAGTGGAGGAGGGACCGTACTAAAGTTTTTGTCTGACTTTGGTTCCACAAGAAAGTTAGATGATGATGTTGAAAGAAGAATCAATATGAAGCCAAAAAAGAGACCCTAAGTCAAAAACAAATAAGATTGTGAGGCTGCGAATAGGAGTAGAGTTTGATGCAGGAGAACCCTATTCCTAAGGAATGAGGTTCTTTCTCCACGAACACAACCCTCGTTGACTCTTTGGATTTTGGAATATAATTTATTGATGTACATCCCCACAAAAAGTAGAAACTCCTCCAAGCCAACACACTTATTTTTTATTTCTTCACTCTCATATTGAATCAAATCACACGTCAAAAGTAAGAACGAAGGAATTATATTGAGGACAATTGATGGAGTATTTGGAAGAGAATCCTGAGGCTTTAGTGGTCTGTGTCTGTGTGGGATCACCAAAACATCCTTTATGTTTTCTAAACATTGAACTAAACCCAACCCATCTCTCTTTTCTTTGTCTTCTCGGTTCTCACCACTTTTTTTTTCCTCCTCCACTTTGAGATTTTTATGGGGTTTGCAACCACTTTGAAATTTAAATTCAGAAGAACCGAACCATCGACCAATAATCCCAATAACATGACAAATAGGTTTTTTGAAAAGACAAGCAGATAAGGAATGAAATGGACAGATCTGACCCATTTGGGATTTGGAAATCAACTTTGGTCCACCTTAAAATTTTGATACACCCATTTCATTTGGTTGACTAAAATGTATAGATAAGTTCTGGATTTGATCCTGGTTGGCCTCTCTGATTGTAGAACTTGACTGCTGGGTCATTCCAGATCCAACACTACTATATTTATCACTTGTTATTAGTTGAAACCCAGATGCACGTGGCCCAAGTAGAACAATACTAATGTATCCATATCTGGGTCCCATCAAATACTGGATGATTTGTATCGAAATGTAGGCTGGAAAACTTGAAATGGATCAGAACTAGAGCTACCCACCTCATGTTCTTAGTTGATATGTGATGTAGGCGCTTATAGCTAGAGCCAATGGCACGCACGCAGAGCGATTCAATGAGAGCATGCGCAGAGCAGAGGTCAGTGTGCGATGAGAAGCTAATAGTGTGGTCGCACACAGCAGCCTCGAATAACCGTGCCTTCAAGGTAGAACCACATCCTGGCCATCCGTGTCCACCTACCCCCAAGCGGTCTCAAGTATAAATAGGGAGTGGCCCCCCAAGGTGAGTATCTAGACTCTTTAAAGTTAAGAACTTTCTTGTCTCCCTTGTGACCTTGTCTGAGCATCCTAGCCTCATCCTTTATCCACTTTTTGTTATACTTGTACTAACTTGATCGTAGGAACTTCAACCTCGAGTTAGCACTCGGGGCCTCTAACGTTCTCTTTCTCTTCACAGATTTGAACTACAGGCCCTCGACCACAACGGACCTCGGATTCATCAATCAGCCCTCGGCCCAAAAACAGATTTACCTTATTGCTTTGGCCCATCCTAGACAGCAACAATATGCATGCATATATGGATACAACAAGATTAATTATATCATATATATATATATATATATATATATATATATATATACATTTATGTATGAGATAGGGCTCATGAACATGACTGTCCTTATTGACACGCCTGTACGTAAACCCATGGTACTGAGAGGGAGGAAGGAGGGGGGCATAATAGTACTAGTGCTAGCTCATTATTATTCCACATAATAATGCTATCCCTGGTGACTCCTTTGGCGTATTTGATCCATCCTTGAGACATGTGATCCATATTTATCCCTTAGAGCTAGCTCCTCATTCCTCATGATTCATGAACAAGACCCTGGTTGATTTGAGAGGAGTAGTTGATTTCATTTCTTTCAGTCAATTCCAACTTAAAGCATTTTTTGTTTTCCGGGGGCATATTAGAATATGTTTTAGGTTGAGTAAAGCAGATGTGAATGTGATATGCGTGCTTTAAGTTTAAAGTCGAAACCTTCTTGATTTTACCCTTTCACTCTCTCTCTCTCTAAACTTTTTTTTTTTATGTATTTGTATATATATATTTGCATCTCTCTCTCTCCAGTCGATCTCCACACTGGTCTACACTAAGCTAGCTACCTGCAGAAGGCAGCTGCTAGGAAGGATAGTTCGTTTAACACAGACCAAGATGGTGGTGGACGTACAAAACAAGCTCCGGCTGGCCCTTGGATCAGTGAAGGATCATGCATCCATTGGCAAGGCCATGATCAACAGCCATGTTGGGTTTTCCGGCATAGAGATTGCCGTGGTTCGAGCTACAGGCCATGACAACACACCCATCGACGACAAACATCTGCATGAGATACTCTTCCTCGTCTCCAACTCTCCCGGCTCCGTCCCCTTCCTGGCTGAAAGGATTTCGCACCGGCTCGACAAGACCAGAGATCGTAATGTAGCCCTCAAGACCCTACTGCTCATTCATCGTCTGCTGCGTGGAGGAGACCGGTATTTCGAGCAAGACCTACGTACAGCACACCTCTCTGGCCATCTCCAGATGAACACTACGCGATGGTTCCCGAGGAATTCCAGCAACCAGTCTCTCTCTTTTCTGCACAGTTATGCGGATTTTCTTGCAGAGCGAATGGGGTGGATAATCAACCAAGCTGGAAAGCTGGAGCCCATCATGTTCCAAGCATCGGAATTTCGATTCTATGAGGAGAAGTCGATCGAGATGGTGTTCCGTAGATTACCCAAGTGTCAAGTGTTTCTTGATCGAGTTCTGGAGTGCTTACCTCTGGGTATTGCTTCTCCTTCTGACCGCTTAACCAGAGCGGCTTTGATCAACATCCTCAAAGAGAGCTTTCAAGTGTATGTGACCTTCTGTGAGGGAGTTGCAGCCTTGTTTGATTCCTTCTTTGATTTTAAGAATCCGGCAAGGGTGCTAGCTCTTGATCTGCTCAAGAGAGCTTCCCTTCAGAGCTACAAGCTTTTTGATTTCTTTGAAAACTGCAAGAGAATTATTGGCAATAAAAACCTGGAGTACCCATCAGTTGAAATCATCACAACAGATCATGTGTTGTCCATGGAACAATTCTTATTAAACAGCTCCCCATCATTAAGACCTGGGTTTCTGTCCACCAAAGGCGAGATGATGTCTCCCTGCAAGGGTGTTAGCAATGATCTTACAAGAACATCAGCAGAGACATACAGCACAGCAGCAGGCGCTTCAGTTGGCAATAAACAAGGAAAAGAGTCCAGAGAAGGAACAGATGGAGCCTTTTCAGCCCCTTTTTCTTGTAGACTGGAGACTAAAATAAGCAAGGTATGGGTGGTTTTCGACCAAGAGGGTGGTTTTCAGGAAGCCCATTTCTCCCAAAGAGGAGGACTCAGTACTGATGATCATTCCAGCAATCCTCCCACCCTCACAAGAGTAGAGGAGGAATCCATGGGTATGGAGATAGAACCAGGAAAACCTTGTAGTTGTTATAACCCTTTCACAACCTGTGCCAATATCAAACATTCTACTATTATGGAAGAGTACTGCAGGAAAGTTTCATAAACCAGGCCAACCTTTTTGTAAATACCATGGCTTTGATTGGTTAATTGCATATTTCTTCTGCACTGTTGTTCTTTTCCTCTCTCGGCTTTTTCACAATCTATTAATTTCTTCCTCCTAGAGTCCTGGTGTGTGTGTGTGCAAAAGGAGAGAGATTTCCACTTTTTGGTGTGTACTTGCAGAGAGAAATCCTAAATCATCCAAGAATTAGAAATTCATGAGGATTTATTTCGGGGTCCGATCCAGCTAATAACTTGAAGTAGTACTCCCTATAATGAGCTTGAATCTTTAATTTTCAAGTAATTAAAACCAGCCATTGCTGTCTAATTAATTAACTTGCACGGCCCTTGTAATTGAAAACTCAAGAACCAAAAAAATTCTAATAAATCTCCATTCCCAAGGACGACCCATGAAGAATATTTGATCGATGAAGAAACCATGACTTAGGTAAAGTTCCAGATTCCACAAATTTCAGGCATGGGTTCACAGTTTAACTAGCAATTCCATGACTTAGGACCTAGTTCATGATCAGCTGGTTGATCCCACAATTGAATATCAGGAGAAGCTTGTGTTATATATTCTGCTATATATTCTTCACATTCATATCGATCGATCTACCGTTAGAGGGACAGATAGATAAGGTGATCTGATTGCTTGTTGCAGTGGGCTATTTTCTGTTCAAGTATGATGTCTGGAATACCCAGAAAACATGCAGCTGCACTCAGAGCTCAATAACTTGTTAAGACTAGTTATCTGGAGGAATTTAAAACTGGCCTATTTCGTAAGATTATTCTGGGTGGCTCGGAGACAGACTAGAGTAGATAGGAGGTCTGATTGTTTATTTTGTGTACCTGCTGATGAGACAGTAGACCACCATGTATTTTTTATTCTGCTGGCTGTCCTTTTTTTGAGAGTCATACGGTTGGGATCTTTTGTCATGATCTGCATGTTCCTTTTCATCCATCACAGATATTCTTTTGTCCATTATGCTATAGCTAATATGTGTATGTATGCATGTATGTTAACTAAAGTTGAGATGGGTTGTCGCCATGAGGATTTATGTCCATGGCCGCATCTTCTCTGTCTAGGGTGGCTTTTCAAATTAATTAATTGATGAATTTGATTCTTATATTGCACTGCTAGAACTGATACAGTTGAATTATTAATTATTTGTAGCTCAAGAGGTGGATTCAAGGATTCAAGTTTCGTTTGAATTAATTTTCAAAGTCTTAAAACATGATGCATATGGAATACAGATTTCCTTTGATTTCAGTGTGAAATTGCAAGTAAATTCCATGAATGGTGCATGGAGAGAGCAAATGGTGTGATATCTCCACTTCATATTTGTTCTATATAGCTAGAAAGTAAAATGATAATGATCTCCACTTCTTGTGAAAGAGAAGGGAGACAGGATGAAAGTTATTAATTTGTTTGAGAGGAGTAAGGTAGGGGTCAAAATGATGTGGGTTCCCACTATATATGAAGGATGGAGTGAAAATTTTGCATCAGTATTTTAAATGCAAAATTTGTACTGTCAATGAGTGCAAATGAGGCAAAAAGTGCAAATTTTGCACCACTACATAGAAGTGCAAATCATGGTCACCAAAAAAAAGAAAAAAAAAACAAAGAGAAAGGGTTCAGATTTGACTGAAGATCTCATCCTGCAACGGACGTGGAATTGGGCTCCAGTAGTGGTAACCATTCTAAATGGGCTGAACCCAATATCTACCCAAGCCCAAAGTTCTTAGATTGCCGTATTAGATTCAAACGAAAGCCCAATGATTGCATTGAACTAATTGGGCCTCAAAAAAAAAAATAAGGGTAAATTGCAAATAGGTACCCTGTACTTTGAGGGTAGTGACAGATAGGTATCCTGAACTTTCAATTGCAACACTCGAGTACTCTAAATTCTCGAAAATAGACACTTAGGTTCATCCATTAGTAATCTGTCAGTTAAAATTATATAATACCAAAAATACCTTTCTCATGCATTTCTGAGATCATTCCCAGGTAACCAAACATCTCCCCACAATGACGTTCTCACATGGACAGCAAATAATATATTCAATTTTTTTGACAACGACATTCTATGGTGATGATTTTACTCCATAGAATGATCTCAAAAATACACAAGAATGGTATTTTTTACATCATGTATTACTTAACTGATGGAATACTAACAAATGGACCCAAGTGTCTATTTTTGAAAGTTCAGGGTACTCAAGTGTTGCATTTGAAAGTCCAGGGTACCTATGTGTCATTACCCCCAAAGTACAGGGTACTTGTAATTTACCCAAAAAAAATAATAATAATAAGAAGAAGAAGAAGAAGAAGAAGAAGAAGAAGAAGAAACAAATTTGTATAGAGGTGGAGAATGACAAGTACTATAGGGATCGTTCGAACACCTTTCTAACAGCCTTTACAGCCTTGCATTGGAAATATCTCCGTACTTATGTACTTTATTTCATGGGGAGATATTCCCAATGCAATACCATAAAGACTGTTAGAACGGGCCTTGCATTGACTGAAGCCGAACCCAATACTATGAAGGTCATCAACCAAAGAAAGCAAAGGAGTTTTAAGTGCCAGGTCCACAAGAAGAATTCACCTTCTACAAGTTATGCTGAAGTTAACAAGGTTGGGGAGGCACCACTTGATAGTTCTCTACTTCAAAAGAGTCCTCTGACAAAATAATCTTAGGGTCTGTTTGATTCACAGCTGGAATCGGAATCAAAATCCTTCAGAACTAGAACCAGAACCAGAACCAGAACCGAAATGATCTATTCTCATAGTTTGTTTGGTGCAAACAAGAATCAGATTAGGAATTGGAATAAGTTAGAATGAGACTTCATTCCTACTAGAGGGGGGAGGGAATGGTCATTCCCTCAAATGGGGGAATGTCATTCCATTAGGAATAGAAATGGGATTCTGATTCCACCCAACCAAGTAGTTGAAATTCTGTTGGTGATTCATATTATCATCATGTCTTCGCTTTAAGTAAAACACAAACAAAACGTGTTTGGTTAGACCATTTGAGGTTACAATGGCCATGCCTCACAATGCAAACAGGTTGTGATGTGGTAGGGGTGTTCAAATTTGGTTATCAAACCGAAAACCAAATGGAACCAAATAGAATAAGCCAATCTGGTTTGGTTACTTCAGTTTGGTTTTATGATTTTAGAAATATTAGTTTTCGGTTTTCAGTTTTCAGTTTGGTTTGAAAAAGAGTCAACCAAACTGAACCGAAAACAAATTAGTCAAAAAATATGTATTTTTTATTTTAATTATAAATTTTAATATAGATTAACGTTATTATTTATATTAATAATAATAACACATAATATATATTTTAATTATAAATGTTGATATATTTTAATGATAATTATTAATATAAATATAAAATACATTTATATTTTAACTAACCAAATTAAAAACTGAACCAAACCAATTCAAATTCGATTCGGTTCGGTTAAAAATTTTCCTACAATTAATACTTGGTCGGCATTCATCCATACCAAATGTGTTTTAGGACCAAAGGGGCACACTATGCATGGGGCTATGGTGTGTCTTTCATTCTCAATCGTGTCACCAGCTCACCACACCTCAATACGATACCAAAACACCCACTCGGAGATTGGGTGGCCTATGGTGTTTTTTGTACCATTAAATTTTCCTACAATTAATGTTTCCATCGTTTTTATTGAAATCATTGAGTAATGAGTATGCTGTTTTTTGTACCATTAAAAACCGACCTCTTTGTGTTGAATGGTCTGATTTGTTACTATGTGCATTTTTATGCTGTTGCTCAGTGGAGTTTTGTCTGTGGTATGTCTGGTTTTAGTAGAAATTTCAACGGACCGTGGTGTGTGTGGTGACTTGAACTTGATTGTCTCTTTCTCTGATGAAAATTAGGGCCACGTTTGATGTGTCTTTTCGTGTGGGCTGTCAGCTGTTTAGAAGCTTAGCGGTTTGCTTTTTTGTTTTTTCTTATTTTTTCATTTGGTTTGGGGGAAGATCTAGTTGCCGAAAGACTGCAACCCAAAAAGATGTGAGAAGCGACCTTAAAATTAGAAATTGAGCTTTTCGCCTTTCTTTATCTTGCCTTCACATGGAAAGATGCATGAAAAGATATGCTTCCAACCAAATGGTCTATGGGCTGCCAAAATCTTTATGTAAAAGCCCACTACATCTTTTAGTTATCAGATCTTCCAAAAATTCTTTCAAAAAAAGAATTACAAACGGCACCTAAAACATGTTGGGTATTCAGTTTCAGCAGCAGAACTAAATTTCTTGATAAAGCAAGTGGATGATTGTGGCTTATGACTCATAACAAACATTGATGATGGGTCATGGTGGGTTGGTGGGTCAGGATGGGTGGGTTGGTATTCAACCCTTACCCAACCCAACCCAACCCACCCCACCCCACCCATTTGCCACCCTTAGGCCTTGATTTCTGTCGTTCGTAATTCACATTGTCAGGCTATCTAGAATGGAGACCTAATGCCTGTGTGTAAGAGACAATCGTTTTCTTGTCTCCTCAAACTGGGTAGATGCTTTCCCTCACTCCCATGTCAGACACTTTGCTTGAGTGTAAGGGCGTCAATCAACCGGTTTTGGATGGGATCCAATCTGATCCAAATCATATCAAATCAGATTTGGATGATCCATTATAATTATTGGATTCAGTCAATCCAAAATAAAATTGGTCCATATTCTTGTTGATCTGAATTGGACCTAAACCAAATTTCCAATAATCTAATCATGAAACCAAACTCAATTGTCTTATTCTTATTAGTCCACTTTATTATTTGTATGTTTGTTTATGAATCGTTGATATACATATTACACTAATACACATACACATGTATTTTAAAGAAAATATATTTAGTAAATTACTATAAAAACCAATTTATTAACCACCTATCAACCAATTTTAAATATAAGATTATTTGTGTAATATATATTAATAATATTTATTATGACCCATATATATGTCATATTATGATGGTTTTGGTTTGACTTCTGATTTGATTGCGGTTGAACCCGTGAACCGATCTCCTTTCCGATTCCATCTCCGGTCCGGTTTTCGGTCTGATTCTCCATTTAAAGTTCTTCAAACCGGTAAGAATTTTCAAGTGATACAGGGTTTATCTATTTTTATTCATTTCGTTTGATGATATCTCATATCTCCCTGTTACATCAAGCAGGTTTCGATTCGAGGTAGAGACTAGAGAGAGTCTTCAAGCAGGTTTGGGCTAATTGCTTGATTTCTAGTTCATGGCATCAGAGTCTTCAAACTCTGCTGAGGGTGTCCAGCGCCCTAAAAGGTCATTAGGATTTATGGCAAATGCCATGAAACGGAAGGATAGCTTCATTCAACTCTTTGTCATGACTGGAATCCTACTACTAAGCATGAGATCTCTAGGCCAGAAATACCGCATCAATGGTCTTCTTGAGGACACCTCTGCTCTCAGAGAAGAGCATGAAACCCTTGCAGAAAGGATGAAAAGCATCAAAAGTAGTCTCCTCCATGAAGCAGCTCTTGATTCTACTGGTGTCTTTGCTTCCAGGCTTCAGTTCCTCTTTGATGGTGATACATGATTTGGAATACCAATTACTAAGTACTAAGTAAGTGCTCAAGTTGCTCCTGCAATTAGGCTCCCCCTCTCTAAATTTTTGTCTCCTAAAAGAACTAGGGTTTCTACACTTGTTTCACTCATTCGTGAATTCACATTTACCGGTAACCCCTTGTATCCCCTGTAGCAAAGATATGTATATATACACGATATAAATCCGTATTCAGGATTTAAGTGGGATCTCTACAGTGTATAATTCATAAAAAAACATTATTTAAGAGCTTCTCCTTTGATTTTTCTTTCTTCAGATTTCCTTTCATGATGCTAGATAGCATTTTTGTGTTCTGGAAACATTGTTGAGTTCTTGTCTTGCCTAGGACATACTTCTATGAATAGATGCTAGTTAATGATTTTGTGTATTCCTGATCTTTGGTTGCCTTATGACCAGTGTTACTCTCTTGGATTTTGGTTTTCATTTTCATACTATATAATATAGACACTTCAGCTTGACCTATAAAGAAATAGTTTTTTTTTTTTTTTCAGTGAATATGGTGGGTGTTAGTGGATCAGAGCCATGTGAAGCATGGAGGAATCTAGGAACCTATCCATTCTTTTCTTTTCTTATCTTAACATGGTAATACTGTGACTTTTTATTATTATACTTGACTAATCCTACAGCTAGGATAGGCCACAAATCCAATGTTAAAGTCTAAACCATGGGTCTCACAAGTGTTTTTAGAATTGTTTAATTAGGATGAATATTACCTAACTATGCATGCGCCTGGGAAGACAAAGATGTGATGTAGGATGGAAAGGAGAAAACAAAAATTCAAATCATATATAGAAGGGTTTCTGATCTAAAAGAAAGAAACAAGTTTAGAAGAGAACAATGGTAAAATTATAGGTCATATCCAGTTCATCAATGTTAGGTCAATGATTAGGCCACAAGACACACTCATGTCAATGATTAGGTCCATATCCAGATCATTCCTCCCAGGCCCTCGATAGCTGGAGCCAACGCTGTAATGGCCCTTTATGCCTTTAGAAGAGAAAGAGGTGAAGAAAGAGAAGGAATACCTGGAGCACACTCCTAGAACCACAATTAACTAAAACATAAACTATTTATTCATGAAATCAACTTTGGAGTTTCAATAAAATTGACTCTATTTATGGACTCAGCATAAGGGCTTGGATCTCTATTAAATTTTGTTTTGTAGTTTTTGTATGGCTCTCCCTGGTACAACCTCTAGTTGTACAGGGTTTTTCTTAATGAAATTCATACTTTACCTTTTCTCAAAAAAAAAAAAAAAACTATAGGTAATCCATTTGGATACTCAAACAGAGGACTTAGACTTCTACTTAAAATCATTTAATGTTACTTTCCTTCCCAAACTACGTTTCTTCATGCATAATACAGTTTGAATACTCCAACAGTTTTTCTGCAATCTGCATTTAAATGACTACCTTGAAGATTTTGTTGTTCCTAAGTGGAGTCTTAGACAAAGGGATCTCCTTTCCTTTATTTGTTCATCTTAGCCATGGAAGGTCTGTCTAGACTTTTATTGAAAGCTGAAACTGAAGGTAGGATTCTTGGGTTTTCTTTGGGCAGGGGTGCTTCTTGGGTATCTCATTTAATTTTTTCAGATGATGTTTTTCTGTTCTGCAAGTCATCATGTAATGAAGCTGCAGAAGTTTTGGATATTATGTTTCAATTCCAATATTTGTCTAGTCAGATGGTTAATTTTGGTGAATTTGGTACCATTTGTAGTAAAAATGTTCCTCACAAAGCTGTTAAAATGTTTAGAAGGCATCTTAAGACAAACCGGTTAGATTGGTATGTCAAATATTTGGAAATTCCTCTTTTCTGGAGCAGAAATATGAAAAAAAAAACTAACAGAATTTGAATTCTATTTTGGATAAATAAAAATAAATAAATGCTTAGAGAGCAAATTGTCTTTCCCAAGCTGATAGATTAGTTTTTGATTGATTTGTTTTGCAGGATGTTCTTGTCCATTGGATGTCAGTTGTTCAATTTTCTAATAAAATTTTGGATCAGATTGATAAATATCAAAGGAATTTTATCCATCCTAGCACAATCTTTAAAGGGAAAAGATCCCCTAGAGAAGTGCTCATTGGTAACATAAATGGAGTATTAATTTTCTGGGCTAAGTCCTATAAGGAGTTTATAGTTTTCAAACATTACCATTTTTGAAATCAATGGCAGAGGATCATAGGTGACAAAGATTTTGTGATGTAACAGATGTCTAGTTGTACATAAATGATTATATACTGTCCAAGGTTAAGTGGTCATCCTTGCTTTTTGTAAACCATCTCCCTCCTTCAATACAAATTAGTCTTACCTTTTCAAAATATTTTGGTGGCAGTTGCAGAATCTGGATAATGGTTCTAGATTGTGTGTTTGGAATACAGTCTCTATTTGCTAAAAACAATGGGGGCCTCAGAATTAGGAAAGCCAGAGATGCTAATCAGACTATTCAGATAATGGGGGTCTGGGGATAAGTAAGTTAGTTGAGAGAAACAAGTCTTTGCTGGGGAAATGGTTGTGGAGGTTTCCAGGGGATTTTGACAAACTTGGGATTAGGGAGGTTTCCAGGGTCTGGGGATAGGTAAACATTCTCCTTTACCCATTTAATTGGGATCTGGTCTTACAGAGGGACCTTAGGGATTTTTGAGATATGAATGCTTTGGCTTTAATTAACTCCCCAGGCAAAACTTTCCTTGATTCCTCTTCTCCAGACTCTCGTATTTGGACAACTTACCATTTGAAGATTAATTCTTGTGAAACCTCCAAAAGAGGAGACCTCGTTGGTACCATTCTCTACGTGTATGTTTCTTTTGCTTTGCCAATGGAATGTAAAGTCCACCCATCCTTTACTAATCTCTTTTTTTTTGTTGATAGGAAATAGTTACTTTCATTAAATTTGGAAAATCTTTGAAGAACACACATCTCAAGTCCCCTATGTTACTCTGTTTTGGTTTCAAGTATTGAGGAGGGGTTTCTTGCTTATTCTAACTGCAAATTGAACCCTCCAACTGATGTGGCTACCTATTTGATCCCTCTTTCTATAAAATGCTGACAAGAAAGGATGGATTCCATGGAGATGCACCAAGGTAGCAATTCTATGGGTGCTATGGGAAGAAAGAAATATCTTTAAAGGAAAGTCAAGAACAAAAGAGAAGTCATGGAAAGTACAATGGTTAAGGTAGTGCACTGGTGAAGACCATTGAGTTTTTAAATTCCTTCCATGGACGACTTCAGAAGAGGATGGAACTGGATAGAAAAATCTGCAATAGTAAGACTTGAGGGTCTAGGTGGAGGAGTAATGGAATCTGGCACATGTCTCTCCTTTTTGTTTTTGTTTTGTTGTGTTTGTTGTTGTGGGTCTAGGTGGAAGGGGGTATTGGATGTTAGGTTTTGAAGGGTCTCTTTGTAGGTTGTTCTGTTTTTGAGTCATGTTATTGTTGAGGTCTCCTCTTCTTTGTGGGTGACTGCTTGTCACCTCTCTCTTGTTCGCTTTTTTTCTTCTTTAATAACTTTTCCTTTATTATCAAAAAAAAAAAAGGAGATAAGATTGCTGTCAAGGAAACTAGAGTTCACATTTCAGTAGGTAAAAGATACACAAATTATCTTGATGTTCTTGGGACTTACGTATATTGTAACTTGTAAGAATTTGTGAAAAGGGATATTTTTTGTGGGCGTTCTTGATTGTAAACTTTTTTCTCCTTGTATTTAATAAAATTCTCAGTTATCTATCAGAAAAAAAAAAAAAAAAGATATTAATCAGACTCTTCTTTTGAAACTGACTTGAGGATTTCTTATTTCCCAAATTTGTTGGTTAAAACTATTTAGAGTTAAATACCTTAAAACTGAGGGATGATTCCAGGTAGAGTTAGATATTAGATCCCCCCTATTTGGAAATCAATTTGGAGTTTTTTGAATGTGTTAATAGATGAAGTTGGTTTACATATTTGTCCAAATTCTTCACTCAATGTGGAGTGGACCTTCAATTAAGAATGAAACTGTTTTATACTGCTTGTGGTTCCCTTCCTGTGGAATTCAAGAATTTTATGGTTGCATGTAATAGACGAAGCAGTGATCAATGAATTAGGGTTAAAATTTTCTGTTTTTCCAAACCAGCTAAGCATGGATTACTCTCATTTTTTAGATCAAATGAGGGGGATGATGTTGTTTGGAAAGTTTCAAACGCTGGTGTATTTGTTAAGGAAGCCACCATTCCTTCTGGGGTTATTGGTGAACTTTGTTGTATGATCAAATTGTGAGATACATTAATGAAGTTTGGGATTCAAAATTCCTCCAAGATATATACTCTTATTCTGTTTGAAATTTTGATTGCAGGTTCATCAATTCTGGAATGGAAACCTCCACATGGAACAGTTAAGATTATTTTCTTTTGCTTTGTTTGTAGATCTGATTCAGGGACATGTCTTGCTGCTGCAGGGGGATGTTGCTGGTGCTCTCAATGTATTTTGGAAGCAGAAATGTTGGCTATTTTGAAAGCTATTAACTTTACTAAGTAGAGGAGCTGGCAGTGTCTTATTGTGGAGTTAGACTCGTTAATTGCAATCGCTGCTCTCAAATGGAGGGTCTACTGGTTTTCCTTGGACCTGTTTTTGGATGATAATATAAGATTATGCTTTATACATCTGGCTTTGGATCTACTTGTTTTAGTTCATGGTTCTAGGCATTGTAGCCCAAGAAAGAAAATATCAAAATTCTGAGGTGGTTCGGGGTTAATAAAGTCCACCTCCATGGATTTTTGGTGGTGTTATTGTCACTGTAATATCCTTGATGAAATAGTTAGTTTATCCAACAAAATTTGAGCTGGGTTTTTTTCAGATGTTGAAATAAATCCACAGTATATGGGCCTGAAACAGGGCTTAATCTTGATGAAATAGTTAGTTTAACGCAACTGCAGCCTGCAGTTCTGTTCAACCATGAATCCTCGCAACAAGCAATGTTAATCATTATTTTTTTTTCCAACATTGTCAAAGTCATCATTATTTTCTGTACGCATTTGTCAACATTTCTTAAAGAAATTATGAAAGCTCAACAATCTTCTGAAATCAACCAACCCTGGCCCAGTGAACCCTCCCCTCCCCAGTCCCCAGAAAGAAACTTTCCATGGACTGGAGACCCATATCTCAATAATATAGCAATGGATAACAAAACCATGTAGCCCATCTGCCGATATTATGACATGCAGTCCCTGGACTCTGGACCCATGTCTCGATAATGTGTCAAATGGTGGCCGTGTCCATCAGGCATCAGCTGATACCGCACCCATACACCTGACATAATAACGCCTAGTCGTCAAGTCATGATATTGTCTTAGTGTTAATTGTCATTTTTGTCTTGGAATCCTGGATGCAACATGAACCAAGAGACGGGAATATTTAATTTCAGTACTAGTTAAAGTTAAGCAACAGGGTATGACTTGTGAGCGAGCGCATATGCGCTTGGTTTTCTGATTCTTGGGGCCAAATTCATTATTTGTTTCAGGATGTCAAGAAATGAACCCTGGATTTCCCTCATTGGTCTCATTTGAATGATTCAATCTCATTGTCTAAAAGGAAACCCGAAAGAGAAAATTCTTAATGGAGTAGAAATCCACGTAGGCTGACTCTACACAAAACTAAAGAGGGTGTTCACCAATGTGTATGGTTTTACATTTTCGAAACCAACATGATATGATTCCATATTTTGCACGCCACCCAACAGCTCTATTGGGTTTAGGGAATCAACCATTCAACCCTCAATGGTCCGAGTCACCCCACCTGGCCTTTTTGTCTGTCTGTAGGTCAGTGTTGATTCTCCCGACTGATTGGCATGAATCCAGATCAACTGGACGTGTAATCACAGCCTTAGAGGCTCCATAAGATGCTAAATGATGCATAATGAGACGACCCAAACCCAACACTCGGGTCATAGTTGACTGTACAACACAACATTCAGCATATCAGAATATCAGATGGCTTTATATATACATTCTAACAATTTTTTTCTCAATGTAATTACCTCATACGGTGTTTTTTTTCCTCACTTCAAGTACTTCGAATTTAAATTCCTCGGTAATTTTCCTATCCCAAAATGGTGTTGGAATATGACCTCATTACAGGTTGCTATAGAGTATAGGTACCAGGTTTCAAATATACACCCCATTCCCCCATGACCAAAGTCCCTAAACTACTGTTGCAAAGGAAGTTTATTCCTACATTGGCTCTTGATTGATTTCTGGAACTTCACCAGCATTAATTGTAGCTCGGATGTCATTTTTCCCTAGTTGTCCTTTGCAGAATTGGGAGCACTCAGTGGGCACACTATGATGGCGTTTGGTTCTGTGGCTGTTCTACGTTTGTAAACTATATCTGTTAATACAAAAGAACCAATTATACGCATGCATTAGATACAGATTACTCATTGTAGTTCGGTAATATGATATCTTAATTTTGATTTTTGGAGGTATACTGGTATAAAGCTAAAAGGCTTCAATAAATGCAAAATGGAAATTAGGGGTCATTCCGATGTAATGCCATGGAATTTACGAAACAACAAAATCTTTCTGAACAAGCTTGAATAGGAGATTCTTTCCTTGGTGTTAATGAAGCATGTTTTCATAATATAATTCTCTAAGCAAAAAATTAAGATGGTTCTAATTTGTTAACACTCAGTCCTAGGAGTCTGTCCACCTTCCATTTCATACCAATTATGAATCTATCTAATCATAAAAGAACATCCAGCTGAATGTTGTCTTGATCTTGTTTGGAGCCCTTCATTTACAACTACAGCAACATCATGCAGAGGAGAGTAGGAGAAATGAGCAAAAAGCAATATCAAAATGCAAGAACTTTTCTTTCTTTGGAGTGTATTTAATTGTATTTTGCACCCAGAAGGGTAATAACAGGTATATGAGACAACTCCAAATGACATAATTACTGTCCTTGAGAATCTCCAGTGAAAGTAGGTTCAAAAGCATAGCACTTGAACCTGAGAAAATGTCATTGCTCTTATTGTACACCTCAAGTGAGGGGCCTCATACCCTGCAAGAAATGCATGCAATTTACAGGGTGAGGAAGGGTGATCCAAATCAAATTGTTCAAAACATCTGAAGTACTTACTCTTTTTCAGAATGCATGCATTTTAAACTGGTACTAGGTGTTGTTCCAAGATTTAAAAAAATTCAGATGAGATAATTAGGTTACCATAGGGTTTTATTGAGACCTTGTGTTCTTTAGTAGCAAGAATGTGTAGAAAGTCTCTGGCCCAAAGTTGTAAAAAGTGTTCATGGTGCGGTAGGTAATGGTTGGGATGCCGGTGTATCTCGGAAGGCTATTCATGGTATTCTTCCTCTTTTCTTGAACCTGATCAAGTATGATACTTGTACTGGCGATAAGGTTTTGTTTTGGGAGGATGTATGGGTTGGTAACCCTACCCTCGAGAACCTTTTTCATTCTTTGCATTCCCTCTCCTGTTTTAAAAATGAGCCAATTCAAAGGTTTGCATCTTTCTCTATTTCCTTCGGTCTTAACTAGAACTTGGGCTTTAGGGGAGATTTAAGAGATTTTGAGCTTGATCAAGTTGCCTTGCTCCTTAAAACTCTTTTTTTTTATATCTTTTGAAGGGCTACACAACGGGGGGTAGCCCATCCCCCAACCCCAAGTGCAAGTGGGATTCGATCTCAAGTCTCTGCTATGACCAACAGGAAACCTTACCAACCCGCTGGTTGGCACCTTGCCTTGCTCCTTAAAACTCTTGAACCTGTTTGTTTGGTTTGTCTAATTCCCTGATAGTCGCATTTGGTTGTCTAATTCCCTAGCTCCTTTCCCCATGCCTCTTTTTTCTAGCCTCTGTGCTCAACTCCTAATCCTCAGTTGTTTCATGGCAAGGAGATTTGATCCAAGCCTATCCCTCCAAAAGTGGGAGCTCTCTGTTGGGAAGTGTTTCTTGGAAAAATAAACACTTTGGATGTCTTGCAAAAAATAAAAAAAAAAAGACCTGGTCTTTGTATCTCTCCTAACTGGTGTACCCTCTACAAAGCAAATGAAGAAAGTTGTTACCATCTATTAATCTCTCGCCCTTTTATTGTAGGTCTCTAGGAAAAACGTTTTGATATTTTTGGGTGCAGGTGGACAAAACTAATGTAGATCTGCAGTCTCTTTGACCCCACAACTTTCAGGTGGCCAAAGAAAAGAGGTAGAGTCTTGTGGAGGTGTGCGAGAGCTGCTTTTGTGTGTTAGGAGAAAAGGAATGCCAGAATTTTCAATGATAAGGAGAGAGATGAGACTAGTTTGTGGGAAAGTATTTTAAATAGGGCCATAAGTTGGGCAAAGTCATTGGACTTGTTTTTATTTCTCCTTTGATGACATATGGAGGAATTGGGAGCAAATTGCCAAAAGTTTTGCTGTTAGAATTAAGCCTTTGGTGGAGTGGAAGCCTCCTGAAGAAGGTGTTATTAAATTAAATTTCGATGGCAGCAGCCTAGGTAACCCAGGGCTGTCCAAAATCAGGGGTTTTCAGAAAATGCTGGGGGCCAGACCATAGCTTCATATTTTGGTCCTATTGGTGTGGAAGATTCAGTTAATGCAGAAGTCTAAGCCGTTCTAAAAGGAGCAGAGATTGCGAAGGAGCTGGCAGTGGAACACTTAATCATTGAAAGCAACTCTAAACTGGTTATTGGGTGGTTAAAAGAGCTGGAGATTGCATATTGATCCTATAGAGGGGCTTTGAGAAGGTTCAGATGGTTAACATCAAATATATTAGTCACACGGGAAAGAAGATCAGCAAATGGGTTGGCAGATTTTTTAGCCAAACAAGGGGTACATAGGAATCAACTTTTTGGGGCTTATTTGTAGCTTGTAAGCTTTATGTTATAGTTTAGAGGCTGCACCTAGCGCCTCTTTGTGGGGATTTTGTAATATGTATCTTTTGTGTTTTTTATTAATAAAATTACTATTATCTATAAAAAATATGTGTAGTATCTTAACTTTTGGATTGAACTGCTGGTCCCAAGCTCACATCTAGGCTTGTCAATGATACCCGAAAATCTGTGGCCCGGTTCAAATTCGATCCGATTATTTTGGATTGAGATGATGTGTTTATGTGATTGGATTAGATTTGGATTTTGCAATCTGCATCTAATTAATAATTAGATCGGATTCGGGTCTGGCTCCATCCGATCCGATTAAAATCTGAATCCAATTATATTATAACATTTATTTATTTTAATATATAAATTTTATATAATTATATTTAACATTATAAAAAAATATTTTTATATATTATATCATATATGAATTTATATATATATATATAATAAATTCAGTATGTTATATTTACATTAATTTATTATATATAAAAGTTGAAAAGTAATTAACATTCTAATGTTTTTATATTTAAAAAAAAAATTAAATCAGAGTCAGATTAAATCTGAATTTCATCCTAGTCCATTAGGATTTGAATTTGAATCTGAGATCTTCAAATCCGATCGGATTTCAGATCAGATTTGGTTGCAAGTTGTCAATAATCAGATTGGATTCAGACGATTTCACATCTATGATACCCAGATACAGATACCAACGTGGACAAGGATACAAGAAACGGGGATAGGAATCCATTTCCTAAATCCTGATATCATGCATTATGTCTAGCATATGAAGTTAAGCATCACTTCTAAATACTTATATCTTGCTAAATTTAACTAAGTTTCTAACATGTGTAGATGTTTTTATGGTATAATTTGTTAAAACATACCACCTTACACATTTTAGAAGCATTAATTTTAGAGTTCATCTAGAAGTATCTATGCAGTATCCAGTATCATATCTGATAAGTATCAGATACACTAGCATAGTTTTCAAGGCACTAAGGCGAGGCTAGGTGGCAGGGGGCCACCTTGTTGCCTAGTTGCCTAGGTGATGGATTTTAGCTGTAAAGACTGATTTATGTCGCTTGGGAGCACCCTTTTGTGCTGTATCTTATGTACATTATTCTTTCTTTATTTTCCTGTAAAGTCACAGCTGTCCTTTACAGTTGTCCTTTTCATATTTGTGTTATTTTATTCTTTATTGTAAGAGGACACAGCTGTCCTTTCCATATTTGTGTACACTACTCTTCTATATAAGAAAACTAGCGGGGACCCATGCGATGCACAGGAAAATCTCTAGGATTTAATAATTTTATTTACTATTAATTAATATTAAATTAATAATTAAAATTTGTTGTTAATTAACTAAAAGTATTCAAAGTTATTGTTAATATCTAAAATTTTTATAATTGTATTTTCATTTAATGTTGATTTACAGAAAATAATTATTGTTAATTTAATATGAACAAATATTTTTTAATAAATTTAGTTTTATTAATAATTTATAGTAATTTTAATAATTGTTATTATTTTTATTATTTTTAAATGAAATTTTGATTAACTTTAAATAAATAAAAATAATTACAAAAGCTAACATTTTTATTAATTTCACTAATAATTAATAATTATATAGGAATGACAATGGGGTAGGTTCAGGGCGGGACACCCCATCCCTATCCCTGCCCCAAAGTCAAGACACTCTACCCCATCCCTGCCCGCCCTATCCCTAGTGTCAAGTGAGTTCAAGGCAAGGCAACCACTCCTCAATGTCGGGCGAGTTTAGGGGCAAGGCACCCCACTCCTCATCAAGGATGGGGAATCCTCGAATTTCCCCATCCCATCCCCAATATTGGGCGGGTTCAAGTAGAGGTGTAAATCGGATCGTGCTGGGCCAAGCCTTGGGCTAGGCTAGGCCAGGCCGCGGACCGAGCCAAGCTATGAGAGGTCCATTTTTAAAAAAATTGAAAAAGATGTTTAATTTTTTATTTCATATGATTTTTGATGTATACAATTGTTTATATATACAATTAGACTTATTCATGGGCCAAGTAGCCCGACGGCCCCACCCAACCTGACCCATTATTTTTCAGGCTTGGACAAAATTTTAAGCTCGTGGGCTCGAGCTTGGGCTTTCTCAAATAAGCCTGGCATGTTATATAAAAAGTACTTATGCTTCTTAAATTATTAATAAATATCAATTTACTATTAGGAAATATAAATTAGTTTATTAATTTATTAAATTATTACTAAATTAATATAATATTAATTTATAAAAGTATATACTGAAAATAAGACATTTTGTGTACAGATTGGCCTTTGGGCTCGGGCTCGAGCTTCGGGCTTTATATAAGGGCTAGGCTTGGGCTCAAGATCTAGGCCCGATGGTCAGGTTGGGCTCGGGCTCGAGCTTGCACATTTTCTGTTGATAAAGAGGCCCGTGTTAATTATAAAACTATGATTTTTTACAAATTAAAATGTTTATTTAATTCTAGTCTAGTATAAAAA